TGCTTTGTAGTTTCCCAAACATTTAAAGCGCACGTGTTAATCGATCGGATCTCGGGTCTCCCCAACATATTCCTGGGCTGTTGAACGTCCCCGATTCTCGCCCCTCGTAGATCAGATGGCACATACGCGCATGTATTCGTGCTCGTACCCGCCGTATTGAATACAACGGAAAGGCTATTAAATTTGTTTTTGTTCGAGCGTCATAATCGTGTCTCGAGGACAGCGCGTGTGTAGAAAGACCTTCCTCTACCAATCTGCGACGAAAGAGAGAGAGAGAGAGAGAGAGAGAGAGAGAGAGAAACCGAGAGGCCTCTCGTAAATTCGCGGGCGGACGATGGAAAAAAAAAAATGCTTTGCAAACCGACAGATGTATCTGGGGCTCCATGTTTGTTTCGCTCGGCCTGATCTCGTTGATTTTCTTCGGCTCTGCACGTCCCATCCGCGCGCGTATTATTTACTATCCACACTCGAAACGCGCTAAATTACTAGCCTGTGTTACCGGTAAAATGTGCCGATAGCGAACCTGTGTCGGGACACCTGATTTGCCGTCCTCGTAAAAATTGATGGAATAGACGCGATTAGATCCGCCGATGAGATCGACAACATGAGCCCATTAGATGCGCAGATACCCGAAAAATCGATTCGATTGAATACACTCGAGATGCCGATTCTTTGTTAAGCACTTTACTAATAAGTGTTGAGCACTTTACTTAATAAGCTGTCAAGTACAGATAAAATATTGCTCTGAGCCATATAAACCAAATAAATAAGCAGAATATTCTGTTTGCAACCTCGGAAAAGGAAATTTGGATGATTTTTTTATTTGTATGCCAATATATGAATTTCCAAATGATTCATTACCAAAAATTCAAAAGATGCGCCAAAATTAATTGTATCGAGTTAAATTTTGACAGGATTATTGTTCTCATATAGTCGATCGTGCTTTTATTTAAAATATAATTTACTTAAATGCATAATTGCAATTGAATTTTTAATTGCTTAGTGCTTTTTTGATCAAAACTTTTAAAAGCTCCAAATCACAAAGAAACTGGTCTCGACTTAAATATTGAAGAGCGCATAAAATTAAATGAACTATTCAGCAAATGTTAGATTAACATTAAAAATTGCGGGATTAAAAATCCAGAGAAATAGTTAAGCCTAAGAAAATTGCTTTTGGACGACTAACAATGTAAACCCAGGCGAAGTGGAAACACGTGTTCGTGAGTGAGATCTTGATTTAAAATTTTCAGCTTGCTTTCCAATTTCATTCAACATTATTATGCTGATGAAAACAAGAAACTTAGACGATACATAATATAATAAACTATAACACGAGTAAAAACATAATAAAATTACATAATATCTATCGAATCGATATTTTTAGTACATATATATATCTATCATAAATACTTAAAAAAAATTAAAGCTTAATTATTTTCTACAGCAAAAGTGAATTAAAGATTTTTGGATTTCTTTGAGATAAAATTCCGAATCTCGAACTATTAACAACTAGGTAATATTTATTTTACTTACACACACACACACACACACACACACACACACACACACCACATACACACGTATCCTATTCAGAGCTATTTATCATACCCAATTTTTTGCGGTATTGGATAATTCGGCGATTATCAACGTCTCACGCGATTGACGCGACAGTCGTTTTTTCTTAGTCTGTCCTCCGATATCTGCGAGAGGGCTATTCGGTGGCTTTGGAACATTCCGTCTGAAGAACGATGTACACGGGCGAGCGTTGATCGATGCGTAACCGCATGAAAGTTTGCGCAACGGAGAATCGTTGGCAAACGTCAGATAAGGACCCGTGACGCGTTTCTGCTTTTGCGCAAAGCCGGTATTACGGCGAGCACGCGCAAAACTCGCCGCACGCACGTGGTAATCCGATATCGCGAGGACACGCTGCACGCGTGCTCCTTCACGTGCTCGTCTCGACTGGCAACATTTACGATCGCACCGGGCGGATTGCTCGTAATTCGAGGATGATCCGGAGCAGCCGGTAATTCCTGCCACGGCTCGACAGATATGCGCTTGCGATAAAAGGAGATTCATTAAACTTCAAATATCACAGCGCCGCGTTTAAATATTCGATATATATACATATATATATATTTTTTTTAAGATAAGTTTGAGACTTATATTTTGTGCAAGAGAAAGCCTTGTAGAAATTTGTATTTGCGCTCCATATGCAACCTATATGACTTATGTTATTGATCCAAACCCTTCAATTGGAGGGTCCCCTAAGCAGGCTTCTCTGCGCGGAACACTCTCTTAGAAAGAGTGAACTTTTAGTATTTCTTTATCCAACCGTGACATTTTCTTTAATCATGAATTGGAGTTTTCTAAAAATTATCTCCACGTTGTTATATTGTACAATATAAAAGGACTATACTACTTCGATATATTATCACAACAATTATAAAAATAATACAGTAAATCCGAAAAACTCTTCTCAATGAATCGCTCCACTTTTTCTGAATTCTTTTGTTAGCATTAATAAGGAAAAAAAAAAAATGCACGTGACGAAGAGGAACTCACAATCAGTCCAAAGATGTGTCCGCCGTTATTTGCCAATCAAACGCGCTAATTCCATTCGTGCATTTTCACCATGGCGAAAGATTCCCCTTGCGATGCGTGAGTGTCGTGAGGCGCGATGTTCGAGAACCCATTGGAAATCATGGATCGACGGAAGAGCAGCCCCGCTTCCCGGGCTCTCTCTCTCTCTCTCCTCTCTCTCTCTCT